GCCTCCCGGCCCAGCCCCCTCACGGCCCGGCTCCGCCCGTCGCCCCGCAACACTGTCCGCCTTCAGCGCACTGCGAGGCCCCCTTAAGCTCCCCGATTCTAAGCCGCAACGGAGATTAGCTACTAGGGCCCAATCAGCGGGGTTCTAAGATTCAAGAGCCTCCGAAATTTGATGCGAAATTTTGAGGGGGCAGAGTTATTATTGCTTACAAGACACTCTCAAGAAGTAGGGTCATGAGTGTCTCAAAATGTGCAACAATTCCCTGCTTTTCTGCACCGCCACGCAGTGTAGACTGGTAGCACAGCCTCTCTAGAGAGCCAGCCAGACCCGGGCCCTCGGTTAGCGTCTGCCTCTTACTAAGCGACGGACAAGTTACTTAAGCCTTCTGTTCCTGTCTTCCTTTAAAGTGGGAATCGCCAGCCGGTGGCGTGCCAGCTAAGGACACTAGATCTCAGATGACCAATGGTGCAGCTAGAGTCCCAGATCCCACAGTTTGAGAAATACGCCGGGCTCGTGTATCTGCGTGCCCAAAGTCCCAAAAGGAGAATGGAGAAGGGATGGCCGCGTGACCATGCCCCGTGTGTGGTCGTGGGTGGGGAAGGGGGCGCTTTCTCATTTTCCTTTTCTGTTTCTCTCCAGAGAGTGCATGCGCCCTCTAGCCAATGAAAAAAGGAGAGGGGACTGTAATCATCACTACCTCACAGGGTTGTTGTAATGATTGCATGAGGTAATGACGGAAAGGGTCTGACTTGAGCCTGTCTGCAGGAGCAGGGGCGCAATAAATAGTGCTACTATTGGCCCCAGAGAGAGATGGGAGCTAGAAAGATTCACTGCTGGACAGTCTCGACGTTAGGACGTCCTTTCAGACGGGAGAGCAGCCTTTCTCTGTAGCTGAGAATCACCGGTTGATGTCACTGGTTCTGGCTTCATGAATGACGATCTGGGTCTTTTCCTTCTTCCTCAGCCATATGACCCCACATTTGAAGACGGCTGTTGGCCTCCACTAGACCCAGCCAAGTTCTGTGTCCTTGCAGCTCAATATTTCCGGTTGTCATCATCACTCAGTATCCCTGTGGCCAGATCCTTGTCTAATCTGATATCCGTCTCCTGGTTCTCTCTGGCTTGCCGCTTTCTCCTTCTCACAAGATGGTGTGCCCAGGAGGGGACTGGAGAGGTGGGGCAAAGCCCTCAGCCTATACAGGACAGCAGGCTTCCCCGCTGGTGGAGTCTTCTGACTTGAGACCTGGTTATGAGCTTGAGGCAAAACCACTGGATTCTTTGTCTTTTCCTTTCTTTCCCTCCCTCCCTTCCTTCCTCCTTCCCCACTCCCTGTCTTTCTTCTGTCTCTCTTCCTTCCTCTCCTTCCTCTCTTGGACAGAAATTTCCATCTATCCAGATTTCTCAGTCCAATTCTTACGTAACCAATTTTTTGGAGCCTTAACACAGGACTTAGCACTCATCCATGGTGAATTTCATCTTGCCGGTTTCAACCCAACTTCACAATCTGTCAAGGCTGACTTGAATCTGCTTCAAGCACCCATGGAGCTCCTTCCCAGCCAGCAGCCATCTGCAGAGTGAAGAGTGGCTT